TGTACCTGCATCTCCATCTATACCCGCATTCCCTCCATCTATAAATTGCACTCCCTCCACCTACACCCGCATTCTCCACCTATACTTTCCGTACCTCTCCACCCAGCTGCACCCTCCACCTATACCTGCACCTCCACCTACACCCGTACTCTCCATCTATACCTGCACCCTCCACCTATACCTGCACCCTCCACCTATACCTCTACCCCCTCCACCTATACCCGTACTCTCCACCTACACCCATACCCCTCCATCTACACCTGCACCCCTCCACCTATACCTGCACCCCTCCACCTATACCCGTACCCCTCCACCTATACCTGCACCCCTCCACCTACACCCGTACCCCTCCATCTCTACCTGCACCCCTCCATCTCTACCTGTACCCCTCCGCCTGTACCTGCACCCCTCCGCCTGTTCCTGCACCCCTCCACCTATACCCGCAACTTGCACATGCCCATACCTGCACCCCTATGCCCATACCTGAACTGCTTATACTTATACCAGCATTTTCATCAGGACCCTTTGGGGTTGAGGCTTTGAGCCCCGATGCCAAGGTCTCAGGCACTGTGGGGTATCAGTTGGCCCTAGACAGTAAATGCAGCCTGCTTCCAGGGGCAGGCATCCACCCCAGCCCCACTCTGGCCGGCGTTCCTGCATAGAGGCTGCTGCGGGGCCCCGTGTGTGGGGAAGGGTGCGCCTCCCCTGTGGTCTCCCTTCTGCGGGCCGGCCCCCGCCCCCACCCCATCCAGCCACTGGAGCCTGATATCTGGGGGTGGTGAGGTCATCATTATTTATGGGATGGCCCTGCTGCCCGGTGGTGTTTGCACACAAAGGCTCCGCTCTGGGGCTGTGCCATGCGGGCCGGCATTCCAGCACATTCCTGCGGCCCGCAGCCCGGCCCTGGACAATAGCTCACCCTCTCTCCTTTGCCGGGCCGGCCTCTGTGAACAGAGCACTGTTGACAGCCGAGGCTGCTCTCACTCCCGAAGAATTCCAAAAATGGAACAATGTACGCCCGGCCTGGGACTCTCAGGCAGCTGCTCAGAGCAGGGCCCCGGAAGGCTGCAGTGTGGAACTGCCTCTGTAGCTGTCCGTTTGGCCGGCATTTCAATGGGAACCTGGGGCGGGGTGGGGCGGGGTGGGGCGGGGTGGGGCGGGGGGGCCACGAGAAGAGAGGAAATAGAAAACACCCAAACCAACCTGGAAGCAAGCCAGCACTTCCCTGGCCGCACGATCCCCGTGGTGAGGAGGCTGAGATGCTGGGCTCAAGCACACTGTGCTGGCCAAGTCTATGCAGGCACTGACCTTTGCCCAAGGCCTGTGAGTGGTTCCCCAGCTCCTAGATCAGCTCTTGCCTCAGACAAGTAAACGTGGGTGGCAAGGGGGGAGTGACACATTTGAGCAGAGGGGGAATGAAGGGAAATGAGAGCCAGGACCCCTGCCTTCTGGTCCAGGGCTCAGGCCACTGCTGCTTCCCAAAGATCTATCCTCAGCCCAGGTGGGGACCACCTTGCTCCTGAGGACTGTCCCCCTACATTGCAGTCTCAGGACAACCTCCGAAAGCCCGCTGTGGCTGGAGGAATGACCAGATCTGGACGTCCACAGCCACTGTCCCAGGATTTCTCTATCCTGCACCGCGGCCGGATAATTCTCTGCTGTGGGGACTGTCCTGGGCCCTGTAGGGTACCTAACAGCATCTCTAGCGTCTGCCCTCCAGATGCCAGTACCAAGCCCCTTCTGTTGTCCCCACAACTGTCTCTCTGATGGGGGCAGAAAGAAAAGAGAGGAAAGAGAGAACATCCAAACCACCCTCAAAGCAAGGTAGAGCCCCTCTGGGTGCATGGTGCTCGTCAACTCAGGAAAGCACTGATAACACTGCTGGAAGTTGGTTCTGTAGCTGGCAAGGCGGCCACCCATGACCAGGATGGCTGTGGCTCTGGCCCCATGCCCATCTTGGACTAGAAGGAAAAGACAGAAGGGCAAGTCTGCCCGTGAGTGATACCAACACGGGAAAGCAGAGTTAGAGAAGGAGGGATGGAGACCCCAAGTTCCGGTGACAGACTCCTGGAACCAGCTGTGCCTGAAGCTGTTCTACATCAATTAACCCTCTCCTTTTGGCTGTACCCAGTTTAAATTGGTGTTCTGTCGCTTGTAGCTGAAATATTCTGGACCAACCCACCTTCTCCACCCGGTGGCACGCTGCTGTCTCTTCCCAGCCAATCTTGGTCAGCAAAAATATCTGCTGTTGCTGCAGGGACTTGGGCTGTCATGGCCTCCCAAATCTGGCTGAGCTTGCCTCATATTGTTAAAGCCCTGGGGGTGGAGGAGAGCAAGGCATCCTGTACCCCTCAAAGTCTGCCACCAACATTGTCATCCTAGCTGTCCCTGCCTGCCCCAGGAGCTCCTGTCATCAAGCCCTGCCTCCTCTTTTCTTCCCAGAGCTCACATCATCCCCAGGAGGTACTTAGGACCAGGGATCTCAGGCCTGGTGCAGAGGTGAGGACAGAGGTGCAGGAGCTGGGACTCGACCCCATGCCCTTCAAGTTCCCAGTTGCCTTTGTGAACATTTGGGCCTTGGGATCAGCAAAGCCAGCCTCCCCTCCTGGCCACATGTTCTTGCTGGACATGCATGGAGCCCCCGGAGGCCAGGGAGGGTGTGTCCTCCCAAGTGGCTTCACAAATTCCACAAGGAGCAAGGACCCACTCACTACCCAGCAGCCGCTGTGTGTGTGTGCATGCACGCAGCTGCACACCCGTGTGTGTGATCATGTGAGTATTTAGCGGGGGCTGGTGAGGGCAGCGTCTTCCACCTTCCAGGCTCTGGGTGGGCGTCCTGGGGCATCTTTGCCCTTGCCCTCCTCACTTAAGACCTGCTAGCCTGGTGCATGGCTTCTCCCAGCCCCAGCGGTTTGTCGCAACTTCCCACTGGTCACAATTATATATTGAAAAATCTTCCTAGAAGCACCGGGGGATTGGGTGGCCTTTCCCTACCAGGTCTCCAGAGGTTCCAGCCCTCTGGTTCCTGTCCATGCTTTCCTGCTGGAGGTGGGAACTCTGGGGAAGCCACACTACTCCTCATGTAATTCTTCCAGGAGCGCAGCAGCTCCTGTGGCCAATTTGCCCCCAAGCCTGCCAGCCTCATCCTACTGGCCAGTTGTCAAAGCCCAGATCCCAGGTCTCACCATGTTTTCCTCTGAGTGGGCCCTCGCTGTCTGGGACCACCTGCCACACAGCAGGCACTTGAGCCCAGGACTTGGGCCTGTCTGGCAGGGCTGCTCCCCTGTTGCTGTAAGTGCTGCATTTTGAGGAGTCATTTCCATGCACCCGGCATAGTCAAGAAAAGGCCCCTGGGTTTGCCCTGAAAGCCCAGGTTGTGGTCGAGGTCTTTCTGTGCATCTGGCAACCACACAGCCCTTTGCCTGTGCCCTGCAGAAAGGCTGGCTTCTCCGCCGCCTTGTCTCCTCTGTGGGGGGTGGGCCTGGCCCTGCCATGCCAGAGAGGAATATCGGTGAAGCTGCCGGATGGCGTCACCGCAGGAAGAACAATTGGATGATGACAATCGAAGGAAGGTGAAAGATCTTGTCCCAGTCTTCCTGTTTTTGTGCGCAATTGGCTCAGATGGGCACTGATAACTCTGCTGAGGGGTAGTCCTGCAGCAGGACTGGGGTGGCTCTGGCTCCACGCCCATCTGTGCCATCTCCTGCTTCTCCCTGTGCAGAGCAGGGGTCAGATGGCAAAGCCCTAATGACTCAGGTGTGGCTGGGGGCACCGGGAGGTTCTGAGATGGGAAGCAGGGATAGAGATGAAAGGTTCTCACGCCCTGCCCTAGGGCTGCCCCTCGGGGTGATGGCAAGCAGGAGATGGCAGCAGCAGGAGAGCGGTGCCCTCTGCCAAGGGAAGAGCTGCCCAGGCCCAGAGTCCCGGGACGTAGCGGTGCCCAGTCTTCTCGCAGAGCAGAGCACATCCCTGTCAGGTCTTCCTGTCCTGTGCTTACACCTGGCGGGGCAGGTGAGATGTCAGGGAAAGGTTTCTTGAGATGTCCTGGCTACCCTGGCCCCACACTATTGGACAGCTCACCTTCCAGAAAGTTCTCCCACATCCTGGAGTCATGCTGCCCCAGGGGCCCCAAGGCCACCGAACTCCACCTCTTTCCAAACTTCCTTTGATGGTTGAAGCGCCCCCTCCACACGCCACAAACACAGCGCGTGAGCCATGTTTTCGGCATGTTTCCGTCACTTTCTTCGTAACTGCCCAAACTTGGAAGCGATGCAGATGCCCTTCACAAAGTGGATGAGAGATCAGCTGCGGTTCGTCCAGAGAGTGGAATATTATTATCCAGTGCTAAAGAGAAATGAGCTCTTAAGTCGCGGAAAGACAGGAAGAGCATTTAACTGCACGTCACTCAGTGAAAGAAGCTGATCTGAAAAGGCTACGTGCCGTATGATCCCAACCCTGCGACACGCGGAAAAGGCAAAACTGTGGAGACAGAAAAGGATCGGTGGCTGCCAGGGGCTGGGGGAGGTAAGGGGTGAGTGGATGGAGGACGGAGGACACTGGGGAGCAGTGAAGCTCTTCTGCATGATACTGTAATGGCAGATACATGTCACTCTGCATTTATCCAAAGCCACAGAATCACCACACCAACAGTGAATGTTTATGTCAACTACTGACTTTATAATGATGGGTCAATATTGGTTCCTCAATTGCAACAAATGTGCCACAGATGCAAGATGTTAGTCACAGAGAAAACTGTGTATGTGTTTGGGAAGGCGAGATATGGTCACTCCGCACTTTCTATTCCGTTTTGCAGTGAACCTAAAACCGCTCTAAGGAATCGTCTAATCATTGATTTAAAAAAAAAAAAAAAAAAAAAGGAAATTTGTGTGCACCACATGCCAGCTTCGAATCCTCAACAGATTTCATCGCTGACAGCAGTGTTCCTTAGGTTGCGCTGATACGGAGCCTTTGAAAAGATTCCCATGGGTTCCTGGTGTTGGTTAAAACGCCTTTTATTCCAATGCTGTGGAAATAGTACAGACACAAAACCAGGGTGGGTTCCTAGGCTGACATCTCTGATACAGCCCCAGAGCCAAACCAAGCTGACAAATCTCACACAGAGACGCAAAAGCAAGGCGATGCCTGTGGACAGCATCAGTGTGGTGAGTGACATCTTGCTGGGTCCAAGGTGCTGTCTGTGTGGCAGGTGAGGGACTGACGGATGGCTTGGGTGCCATTTCTTTGACATGGGGCATTCTGTGCCACACTGGCCACTTTCTCTTTTTTCAGCCTGGGAATCTTCCCTGAAATTGCGATGGCAGCGGGCCTTCCCCGGTGGATGCGTCTTTCATCTCCATGCTGTGTTCTCATCCCTGCTCACAACCCACAGTGTTCCAGGAGGCTTCAGCGTGAGCTCGGAGGTCAGCAGGTCATCTTCAACCCCTGTACAGTTTCCTATGGCTGCTGTGACAATTTCCACAATTGCAGTGGCTTAAAGCAACATGTGTTATCTTACAGTTCTGGAGGTCGGGAATCGGACACTGTCTCACCGGGCTACAGTTGAGTGGCAGCGGTGCTGGGTGCTGCTGGAGGCTCCAGGAAAAACCCTTGCCGTTTCCAGCTTCCAGAGGCTGCCCATGCTCCTTGGCTCATAGCTCCCCCTCCATCTCAAGCCAGCTGCCCGTCCCTCCGACCTCCGCTTTTGTCCTCACATCTGCTCGGCTCCCCCGCCTCCTCCTCCACTTATAAGCACACTTGTGATGACGCTGGGCCCGCTGGACAGTCCAGGGCCATCTCCTCGTCTCAGGGTTCCTTAACCTTCATGCCTGAAAAGTCCCCTTTGCGGTGGAGGTCACACTGTCAAGGGTGACAGGGGTTAGGATGGGGCATCTTTAAGGGAGGCGTGATTCTGCTGACCACAGGGTCCCTCTTTCCCTCATTTCACAACCACTCAGTTCAGAACCCCGCTGGCTCTACCCCGCCGTCGCCACTGGGGCTGAAGCCACATCACATCTCCCCAGAGGACTACCCCGGCTCCTTGTTGGCCTCCTGACTTCCATCGTGGTCTCTCTCCAGTCTCTTCTCACCCCAGCAGCCAGGCCGACCCTGGGAAAATGTGAGACCAAGCCTCCCACTAGTTCCTGCCTTCGAGGAAAATCAAAATGCTTCCAGTGGCTGAATGAGTCCCAACCCCGTCTGCCCATCCTCCCAGTTCCCTCTTCTCCAGCCCCACGGGCCTCTGCGCCCTCCTGCCTCGGAGCCTTTGCACTGGCTGCTCCTTCCTCCTGGGCTGCCTTGCCCTGTACCTCCGTAATCCCTGTCCACTGTGCTCCAAATGCCCCCGCTCCTCTCCACACCACTTGTGACTTCTAGCAGAGCCCACTGCCCTCTTGCTCACGATCTCCTTGCCGGTCTCACCAGGCTGAAGCAGTGCCATGGGGCAAGAGTTCTGCCCGCTGAGTTTGCTGATAGAGCAGGGCCTGGCTGGAGTGGGCACTCCACACAGATTGGTGCGGCAGGTGCAGGAATGGGTGAGAGGAGGCTAGCAGAGGCCTCAAGGGGGGAGGAAGATAGAGAACACTGGGCTGGCATATTCACCAGGTCTTCATGCCAAGGGCCCAGGGCTGGCTCCAGGCAGAGCAGGAGACCACAGCCCAGCTCCTTGGGAGGTCAGAATCCTCTCTCTCCTCCTTCACCCCACAGCTTCCCATGGGCTAACCCCATTACCAAGGAGCCTTTTGGAGCAAACTGCTCATTGATTCACTTACTAAGCAAATGTTGACCAGGTCTGGTCAAGGGTGTGTGGATGCTGGGATAAGCAAGGACCTTCCAGAAAGTCTAAGTTCATGGTGGGGATGCAGGACGGGATGTAGTTGTACTGACCTGCTGTGCTCCAGGCACATTGCGGGTGTCAGCTCTTCATTCTCCCCCTGGAGCCTGCAAAGCTCAACCTGGCCATCTCCTTCATGCGGTGTCCCTGGTCCCCCACCTGCACCCTCACCACTGAGCCCTGCCAGCTCGCCTCTCCCACGGGTAACCTCGACCCTCCCCATCACACAGGGTATTTTGCAGTCTCCTTGTTTGCTTCTTCCACCAAACTGGGGCTCTTGGAGGTCAAGGCCTAGGGTCTTCGATGTTTTCATGTGTCCAGCAGCTGGCACACAGCAGGCCCTCAGAAAATGTGGATAAAAAAGAAGTGATGGCTGGCCGGCTGCATAACGAGTTGACAAATGAACAAATTCCATGGGGAGACCTTGTTTGGGCAGAGTCACAGGGAGTGAGGAGAGGCTGGGTGGAGGGGCAGGGGGAAGTCCCTGCTCTGAGCCTGAGGAGGGGTGCAGAGTCTGGAAAGGGAGGTGGGGCTAAGCAATGATACTGCTGCACTGCTGAGCGCATGCTGTGCTGGGGTCCACCATTGGACTTCCCCAGTGACACCATCAACTGGCGACCAGGGACTCCCACCGGGCCGAAGGTATAACGCTAGGAAGTGGTAGAACTGGGCTTTGACACGAAGGCCTCAAAGGCCTGCCCGAGATGTCTGGACTCTGTCTGCAGGCTGTGCTCTCAGAGGGCACACAGGGCACCCCCTGCCTTGGGAAGCAGCTTCTGAGCCTGCCTCAGGGACCCCACCTCACCTGCACTCGGGATCTCTCTGCTCTCACCTGCTTCCATTGTTTTAATGCTTCCAGATGAGTTTGTATCTGGAAGGAAACAAGGATTCCTCGGCGAATTGGATTTCTGGCTGCTGCAGGTACTGGGGAGCCGTGGGAGGTTTCAGAGTCAAGAAGTACTGGATGAAAGGCTGTCTCTATCACTCTTGGAAGACGTTGACTTTTCAGGTTCTTTGTCTTCACAGCACTGACTGTTGGCTGTGTATGCCTCCGGTCCCAAGCCTCGGCCATCCTGCCAGCCTTACCGCTCTGCACGACCGACAGAGACCGCAGCTTCGCACAACAGCCCGTGCGGCAGAACAGGGCTGACTAGGGATGCGCCTCTTGCCCCAGAGGTGCCTGGGCTGACGGTGGGACAGCTTCACTCCATCCCTGGGGCCTGGACCACATCCCCAAGGAACATGTGTGAGGGGCTGGGGCGCTCCTCCTTGGCTGGGGTGTTGAGGGGCCAAGGGTTCCCCCCGCAAAACTCCAGGCCCCTTTCTGACCTGTGCTGTGGAGGAGCATCTCCTTGGGGAGGGATTCTCAGACAGTCCAGGCTGCAGGAGCTGACCCGGTGCATCAGGTCCTGGCTGGGTGACCTGGGAATGGCACCCCCACCCCTGGGGCTGGAACCACTCACCCAGCCTGACCCTGGAAGCTCAACCTCTTCACCCGCTGAGAGTGTCGGGCTGGGGCTGCAGAGGGCAAGGTGGGAGGCCAAATCCAGCCTGCCAGCCCCTGGGAGGCTCGGCCACTGGGGTTCCCTGTGAGGACAGCCACCGTCTTTCCCGACTGCAGTCACAGAAGCCCAATGCATTGGATTGCGCCTTTTTGATTTTGCAAGTGAGAACTGCCCCTGTCCCTGTGGGGGAGCCTATGGTCTGTGGACACCTCTCGGCCCTTGGAGCACCCACTGACCGGTGCATGGGAGCCCGCAGCCCGCCTGCAGCCGGAGCACGTTCCCACTGCCCCAGGCTATTCTTAACAAGCCAAGCCTCTGGCTCCAGGGCTAAAAATACCACATGGGAGGCCTGTGGGAAAGCTGCCGCTGGCTATTTTAGTGATTTCTCACTGGAGATTTAGGGTCCCTGCATGTTGCCAGGACAGGGAGGGCACTGCGGCCTGCACCACCCAGGGCCCCTCTCAGCCCATACTGGGGCTCCTCTGTGTCAAGCATCCTTAGCGCCCAACGGCAGCCACCTCTGGTGTCCAGGGAGGTAGAAGGAAGGGCCTGGGAGTCTTGAGCTCCCTCATTTCAGCTTCGGAGAAACGAGTTCCAAGTGGGGAGCAGGTGCCCGGGGTCACAGTGTGGTCTGCGGTGTAGAGACCAGCGGGCACCCAGGGTCACAGTGTGGTCTGTGGTGGAGAGACCCCTGGACTGCTCCCTGGCATGTGAGGCCTGGTCCGGCTCTCTCTCATCCAAGGGGCATTTGGGGGCCACAGCCGAGCTGTGCAGGTTCTCACTGGGCTTCTTAGACCAAGGCTTAGCTTCCCATTACCTTTCTGCAGCCTTATCTGCCCACTTTCTTTCTCATGAACCTTTTTGTCCTTGATTTCCCTTCATCTCTCCCACAGTTTGGCAGGTGTGGCAGAGGGGGCTTTGGCCCCGCTGTGGGAATGCAAAACCAAGGCTCAGGAAGGAGAGGTGCGTGTCAAGGCTACAGCTGTGCAGGGCTGGGCCAGGCTGGCTTCACCCTTCCAAGCCTGGGCGTCTTGGTGGTGCCACTGGCGCTCATATCCAACCTCTCCTGCCGGTTCCCCATGCGCAGGGCCCTGTGCCGTGCTGGTGACTGATGGCCATTGTGTTCTCAGACTGGAGGGCCTGGCTCCTGGGCAGCCGCTGTGGGTCTGCACCTGTGAGCTGTGTGTCCCTGTGATGGGGCCCTGATGGGCAAGCACGATGATCGCCCCTGACAGGTGGCACAACGTGCCATTGTGTGGGGCCCACCCCGGGCAGGTCCATTAACTGCCAGGGGAGAGGAGGGCCGAGGCCTGTGCCGTGCGTGCAGGATTATCGGGGTCGTGGGGGGGCAGCATGAGACCCTCTTCCTGCCACTGGGCTGGGGCTGGGGTCCCGGCCCAGAAGGCTGAAGGGCTTTAGGCAAATTCCCTCCATCCATGTCTGTGCCTCAGTTTCCTCCTCTGCAGAATGGAGATCTTCAAGGTGGCTCCCATCTTGACCCATGAAGGGACCTGGGAGGACAAGGGACAAAGAGGCATGGCCGGTTACCAGGCTATCACTGTGGGGAAGGAGATGGGGATGTCGGAGTGGGAGGCATCTGACAAGATTCCCTTCGGACAAGATTTCTCCCTGAGCCAGGACCTGCCTCTGGGAGCTCAGATAGCACCACCCAGACTCAGGAGTGCCTTGGGGGCCTCCATGAGAGACGCCCACCCACACCTGCCTGGGGAGCACCCTGCTGCCGCTCAGGAGCTCCCTGCTGTGCCACACGGGTCCCCTTAAAACTAGAAATTCCACGACCCACAACGAATCAGCCACAGGGAGGCCCAGTGCCGTGACTGATGGGGACCAGGTCCCCCAGGGGACCACCACAGTCAGCATAAGTGGACACCACACGGCCCCTTCCTGAGGACAGGGCGGAGGCCAAGCCTAGCTCCCCGTCAGCCCTTACTCGGGCCCTGCCCTGTGGGGACCTCAAAACACCATCTCCCAATTTACAGATGAGAAAATGGGCCACAGAGAGGGTGAGCGTCATGGCAGACAAGATTTCCACCCTGGTTCCCGTGAGTGACCTTTCTGAGGACCCCAGCGGCCTGCAGCCCTCACAGGGCTCTCTCTTCTTCCCATGCCATCCCACCCTGTCCAGCTGGCTCTCCTGGGCTTTCCAGGCCCCTCTCTCCTCCCATCCTCCGCTCTCTTCCTCCCTCCCCCTTCCCTCTTCTGTGCCAGCTCCAAGCACCGCACCCAAGCCTTGGGGACACGGTGTGGCCTCCAGCATTCCTGCCCTGTTTTCATTTAGGGGACGCCCCCAAAATACTCCGCCTGCGGGAGGCGGCAGCCGCCCCAGGCCCCCTGGGAATGCGCTTGCAAGCCTTGGCTGGGCCGTGCTGGCAGGGGCAGGGAATGCAGAGGCGGCAGAGTAGGGGGGGCCAGGACCCCCCAGCACGGCTTTTCGGGTTAATGCGAAAGAGGAGACCGCGCAGCTCCGGGCCCGGAGAGGACCTCAGGAATGTGGTGGTTCAGAGCTGACATCCACATTTCCCTGTCTGCCTGGATCCAGTTCGGGGACAGTGGGGCAGCGCCAGGAGGAGGGCCAGCAACACAGCCAGGCAGCCGTCCTGGGGCTGGCTGGCAGTTCAAAGCCCTGCCACCCATCGCGGGGGCGTATGGAGCTCCTCAGATGGGCTGGGCCTTCCTGGAAGATGATCCCTGGGACTGGGAGAGGCCCCTCCCCTGTCCCCATAGGCTGTGCCCTCTCTCCTCATCCTCAGTCTCTGAGCAGATGGCACCTTCCTCAGGAAGACCTCCCAGGACAGCGAGGGGAGGGCGACTGCTCCTCCACCTTCCCTGGCCCTGTGTGTCTTCTCTGGAGCAAGCTCAATTCTAAGCGTTCCTGGGCCCACGGGCCCCTCGCGGCTGAAGCACGGCTTTTGCGCCTTCACCTGGTTTTGGAATCACAAGCCAAACTCAGGCAGCACCCGGGGAGATGAACGTGGAGGCTCCAGTGGGCAGGTGGACCTCGTGGTGCTGACCAAACTCTAGCCAAGTTTCAAGGCCCGGCTCTCAGATGCTCCCCCAGATGGCCCACAGCTGGCTAACATCTAGTGCTGAGATGGTCTGCCTGGGGCAGGACACAGACCTCACCACGGGCAGGATTTCTTCCCAAAGCTGTGCCATCCCCCTGTCACCTGGGGATGCTGGTGACAGTGCAGACCCCAGGCCCAGCAGTGGGGCTGCAGTGACCCACGGTTATCATGGGAACTTCATACCTGAGGTAAGAGCTTGGACCTTGGCTTGGGAGGTCCCAGGCTGCATCACCCTGGGCCTCAGTTTCCCCTTCTGTCATGCAGGAAGACACCGCTGTCCTGCCTGTCTGTGTGGTTAAGAAAGGGTCCCCATTTGAGATGCCTCCAGGATCTCAGATAGCACCACCCTGACACAAGAGTGCCTAGGGGGCCTCGGCGAGAGATACCCACCCCACACCTGCCTGGCAGGCTCCCTGCTGCAGCTAAGGATGCAGCAGAGGCTAAACAAGGGGGTCCTGCTACCTCCCTGCTATAGGCAGGACCACGGGAGCCCTGGTGGAGCCCCTGAACTGGGCTTCCTGGCTTCAGGAAGCAGAATGGCAGCAGAAGGCCCGGAGGGGAATCCCATTGGCCAGGTGGCCTGCCCACAGATGCTGTACTTGCCTCCTGACCTCAAATATTGGCTAGGGCAGGCAGAGGGGTCAGCAGTGCTGGCCGGGCAGTAGGCGCCGGTCAGTCTGCTGCTGAGTGACACAGATGATGTCCTGGCTGGGGCCAGCCCCATCCCCCACCCGTGCTCCCCTCACCAGACAAGAGGCACCTCTGCAGCAAGCCAGAGCCTATGGGCAATGCCTACCCTCTAGCCCACGCCCCCACGAGAGGGTCCCACCTTATCAGCAGTGTTGCCTCCACCTAGGCAGGCACCTGGGGCTAGGGGCGGCGCTTCCCCTGGTTCTTCTGGTGTCTGGGACAAATATTTGTTGAATGAATGTTAAGTCCAGCGAGGTCAGTGGCATCATCAACCCTGACTCCGAGAATTCCTGAGCCCCCAGCACATTTATTCTCCCCGCCGCTGACCTTCACTGAGAGGGGATAAGACCTTGGAACCCTAAGCGTCTGTGTCCAACTCCATTATGTTCCTGGGGGAAAACCCTTTGCCTCTCTGACTCTCTGGGTCCTCGTCTGTGGCCTGGGCACTATATCAGCCATTTGCTTGGAGGTCAAGTAAGATTTAATGTGCAAAGCACCTGACTTGGAGGATCTGGCCGTGAATTCTCCCCCCCCCCGCCCCCCACTTCCCGTACGCAGTGACATGCTGAGCTCAGGACAAGGTGTAGGGCGAGCGGTGGTGTTGGGGGGGGGTGGTTCAGAGATTTGAGCACAGTCCGCTTGTGTTAAACTACTGGTCAGCTGTAGCAGATAAAACTGGGACACAAATCATGGTAAATCACACACACTAGAAGATTCTCTGCCTTCAGAGAAAACAAAGGAACCAGTGAAGCCTCTGGTGCTGTGGACGGCTTCAGGGAGGTGACCTGCAGATGGTCCTGAGTGCAGGGTTTGACCCAGTGGGAGGAGGACAGTGCAAAGCACAGACTGAAGACGAGACCCCAGGAGTCCAGGGAACCTGCCCACGGCCACCCATCGCCAAGTGCTGCCCAACGGCCGGGCTCGGCAGCTGCATGGGCCAGCACGACACAGGGCAGGCCCGCTTGGCGGAGTCAGAGAAGTGTCCTTTTCTCCTTCCAGAAACTGCTGGGCCTTTTCTCATGCCTGAAACACTCCCGTTTCACACTAGAGGTCCTTAAAAGCTGTGCCTTCATGAGGCGTCCTTTGTGAAAACGCCTTCAGTAACTGTTTTTGGGAGGCAGGGGAGTCACCTGAAGTTGTGGCATCTCAGAGTTCCCTTGGGACACCATTCAACAAGGATGTGCAGAAGGCAACACCCTTCTTGAGGTGGACAAGAAGCAGGTGCATGGGACTCTGGGCTCACAGCAGGGGTGCAGGCCCGGTGGCCATCAGAAGATCCTCCTGCCAGGTCTGTGTGTGCCCATGCCGCGACTGTCCCTCCCTTCTCCCACAGAGCCTCTGTGTCCTCTCACTGGGCGGCCCTGACTCTCCTTCTCCCATGACCTCGTGTCTGGAGGCCATGCCCTGGCCTGTCTGTTTCTTGGCTGAGTGTTCTGAGGTCTCTGTCTATCTCGAAGCTGCAGAACGCAGGCTCTAAGGAGTGAGGCGGCACCCCAAGAGCACCCTCCCTTTCCTGGAGCTGACGCAGGGCTCACAGCAGGTACATAGGGCCCTGGTTCCCCTTTACTTCACAGTTGGGAACCTGAGGCCTGGGGCGCGGGAGCTGCCCATGTGGGGTCGTGGAGTGAGTCGGGCATCACCCAGAGCCCCAGCCAGCCTGCCCCCGCGGGGCCCTTGGCTCGGCTGCCTTAGACAAAGGCTCTTCTTTGAAGCGTCTGAGACAGAGCCCCTGGTTTCCGGCCCCAGCCCACCGGGAGGCACCCGCCTCGGCAGCTGTCTTCATTTGCTGCCCACCAGCCGGGCCGGCCCGGACCTTGGTTTATTGTCAGCTTCCTTGCCAGAAATATGCTCCAACAAATGCTGTAAACAAACGGGACAATTGCAGACCATCACGCTTGGATTTCTCTCTAATATGCATAAAATGGGGTGCGGCTGGGACTGCCTGGCCAGCAGCCTCTGCTAAGCAAAAGCCCCCTCTGGATGTGGGCCTGACCACAGCAGGCTCTTCCCCTCCTCTGAGCCCACAGCCCTCAAGCCTGGGTCACAGACAGGTCCTGATGCTATTCTACCTTCAGCCTACCCATGGAGAAGGTTTCTTCATCTATTTAGCAAACACTGACCTAGCGCTTGCTAGGGGTCGGCACTGTTCCTATATCCTGTGAATGTCCCTCTTTTCATCCTTATAAAAACCTGTGAGGTAGGGCATACCATGATCCTACTTTATAGAGAAGGAAACTGAAGTACAGAGAGGTTAAGTCACAGGACCAAAGACACACAGCTAATAAGTGGAGGACGTGGAATTCCACCCCAGGCTGTGGGCTCCAGAGTGTAAGTCCTGGCCAGAGAGAAGTTTGGGAAGAGGGATCCATGGGGCAGAGGACGTGGAGTCCTGATGAAAGAAAGAAGGGGACTCCAGACCCTGGCAAAGCAGATGACTGCCCTCCCTTGCACAGACCTGCTCTGGGCAGCGTTGCTGGGACTCTGGGAAGCATTGAGTACCCACGCTCCCTCCTTCCATGGACCTCCGAAGTGTCTGTGAGAGCTTAATGCTATGGGCTGAATCACATCCTCCCACAATTAGTATGTTGAAGTCTTAACCCTCAGGACCCCGGAATGCGACATTATTTGCAGATAGGATCTTTACAGATGAAATCAAGTGAAAAGGAAGTCACTAGAGTGGGCCCTAATTCAATATGACTGGCATCCTCATAAGATTAGGACACAGACCCACATAGAGGAACAACCCTGTGAAAATGCGAGGAGATGCTGTCTATGAGCCAAGGAGAGACCGCAGAAGAATCAGCCCTGCCACACCTTGATCTCAGATGTCCAGCCTCCAGGACAGTGAGAGAAGAAACATCTGTTTGTAAGCAACCCAGTCTGCAGAAATTTCTGGTATGACGAACTATATAAATCAATCAGTGTAACTTCCTTCTCTCTCTTCCTTTCTTCCATCCATCCATCCATCCACTCATCCATTCATCCACCTACTCATTCATCCATCTACTCATCCATCCATCTACTCATCCATCCATCCACTCATCCATCCATCCACTCATCATCCATCCATCCATCCACTCATCCATCCATCCACTCATCATCCATCCATCCATCCACTCATCCATCCATCCACTCATCCATCCATCCACTCATCCATCCATCCACTCATCCATCCATCCATTCATCCATCCACTCGTCCATCCATCCATTCATCATCCATCCATCCATCCATCCATCCATCCATCCATCCACTCATCCATCCATCCATTCATCCATTCATCCACTCATCCATCTATCCATGCATCCATCCATCCATCCATCCATTCATCCATCCACTCGTCCATCCATCATCCATCCATGCATCCATCCATCCATCCATCCATTCATCCATCCACTCGTCCATCCATCCACTCATCCATCCATCCATTCATCCATCCACTCGTCCATCCATCCAATGTCCATCCATCCACCATCCATCCATCCATTCATCCATCCACCTTCGTCCATCCATCCACTCGCCCATCCATCCACTCATCCATCCATCCACTCATCATCCATCCATCCATCCATCCATCCACTCATCCATCCATCCATTCATCCATTCATCCACTCATCCATCATCCAAGTGACCATCCAGATCCATCCATTCATCCATCCATCGTCCATCCATCCACCTTATCCATATCCATCCATTTATCCATCATCGTCCACCATCCACTTTGTCCATCCATCCACTCATCCATTCATCCATTCATCCATCCACTTTGTCCATCTCCATCCACTCATTCATCCATCCACTCATCCATCCATCCATTCATCCATCCACTCGTCCATCCATCCACTCGTCCATCCATCCACTCATCCATCCATCCACTCATCATCCATCCATCCATCCATCCATCCACTCATCCATCCATCCATTCATCCATCCACTCATCCATCTATCCATGCATCCATCCATTCATCCATTCATCCATCCGTACTCGTCCATCCATCCATCATATCCATCCATCCATTCATCCATTCACCTGTCCATCCATCCTTTACCTGTCCATCCATCTTACCATCCATCCATCCATTCATCCATCCACTCTGCCCATCCATCCATCGTCCATCCATCCACTCATCCATCCAATTCACCATCATCCATCCATCCATCCATCCATCCACTCATCCATCCATCCATTCATCCATTCATCCACTCATCCATCTATCCATGCATCCATCCATCCATCCATTCATCCATCCACTCGTCCATCCATCCACTCATCCATCCATCCATTCATCCATCCACTCATCATCCATCCATCCATCCATCCATCCATCCATCCATCCATCCATCTACTTGATATGGTTTCGTTATGTCCCCACTCACATCTCACCTTGAATTGTAATAATCCCCAAGTGTCCAGGGCAGGGCCAGGTGGAGATAATTGAATCATGGGAGCGGTTTACCCCATACTGTTCTCATGGTAGTGAATGAGTCTCACAAGATCTGCTGGTTTTATAAATTGGAGTTCCCCTACACATGCTGTCTTGCCTGCTGCCATGCAAGATGTGCCTTTGCTTCTCTTTTGCCTTCTGCCATGATTGTGAGGCCTCCCCAGCCATGTGGAACTGCGAGTCCATTAAACCTCTTTCCTTTATAAATTACCCAGTCTCGGGTATGCCTTTGTTAGCAGCGTGAGAATAGACTAATACACCACTCATCCATCCATCCATCCATCCATCCATCCATCCATCCATCCACTCATCCACCCATCCACTCATCCAACCATCCACCTACTCAGTCATCCATCCAACCACCCATTCAATCATCCATACATCCATACATCCATCCATCTACTCATCCATCCATTCCTCCATCCATTCACCCACCTCCCTCCCTCCCTATCTAAAGGGCTTACAATCTCAAAGCTGGCAGAGACCTTATTTGCTGGATGGAGCCTGGTGTAGCCCTTCCTCTGTAGAGATCTCCTGCAGGTGTCCCCAGGGCCTCTCTGTGAGCCACTCTGTTTGCAGATGCTCAGGCTGCCCTCTGCCCCACAGAGCTCTTCCCTCTTGCCTTGGGGTGTTCATTGGGCTTGGCTCCTCCGCATGGGGTGGCACTTGTCACAGGGCGGGAGCTCCAGTGTCTATGGCTGCCCCCAGCCTCAGCATTCCCAGAGGGCTGCATGGGCCTCTATGTGAGGACCTGGCTCAGGGAAGGTCTTTTGCCACGGTGAGCTGCATTAGCCTGGATTGTCAAAGAAGCCCTCTTGGAGTGACTGCTGGGTTCGAGGGGTGTGTGTGGGAGGTCTGGCTCCTTTTGCCTGGGAGACCCGAAGTTGGCTGGACTCTGGACCTTTCAGGGCCCCTGCCACTTGCCCAGAGTGTATCTGAGGTCCCAGGGTGCGGCCTGAGAGCTTCTGGTGGGGACCCCTGAATTGAGTGAGGGCAGCTATCACAAGCCCCATTCTAATGATGGCAGAGTGTGGACTCTGATGTGTGGACCGCCAGGTCGGTTGAGTGGCACAGCCTCCTGGCACCTCCTCATCTGTCAAATGGGAAACACTAGTAACACTGGCTGCCCCAGCGGCTGCTCTGATGG